CGGGGGGGCGGACTCGGGGCCAAGGGCGAGGAAGCCCTGCCGTGACTGGGTGCAAGTGCAAGTCTGAAGTGACAAAATTCGATCCTTATTACGAGGTGAAAAGAACTCTTGTCGTCCTTCGGCCACTACCCCGTTGTCTGCAATACAAATTTGGAACGTGAATCCTATTCCACGGTGGGGCCCCTACCCCTATTTTCCAACCCTGATCAAGTGCATGGCGTGGAAAGGCCTCTCATCGAACATGACCAGAATTCCCCTGTTGTACTCAAGTCAGAGCCCAAACAATGGACATGGAAGCTGCCAATGAAACCGTTCCCTAAACGGGTAATTTTTTATACGCATTACCTACGTTCTGATTGTATCTGCTATAAAGTAACCTGATTTACAACAACCAGATGGTACACTATGTGTGGTGTGTGGCTTTAATTTCCTGCAGCCAGGAATCTGCCAGCTTAATCAGATTCAACATGGACTCACTTAATGTCTGGCGTTTCTGTGTGATTCCACAGACTCCTATCTTAGGGAACTTAAGACAATTTCGTACATTCGATTATTGCAGCTCCTAAACACGTTTACCCAAAAACACGTTTCGGTTCAACGTGTATGCAAGAGGAACGTCATATCTACCTCATCGTCATTACGCTTTTCTGTTCTACAGTGTGCAGTCCCACATGAGGTATGAGGTTTACAAATGGCCTATCAAATAACGGTGGGTATGAATACTTTCCAGTAGACCAGGGATTTGATAGCTGCTAACAGCAGAGGTTCAAGTATTGAGCAGCAGTCGGTGGAGCATGGGGTCCCCACGTCAAGTCTTCTCTGTGTCTGAACTCACGTTTCTTTTATGAGATACTACTGAGCCCACGGGACTGAATTTACTTCTACAAATGGTAAAAGTTCCTTCCGTGTAATGTCAGTCCCTGCTTCCTTGGTTTGCCTCAAAGTGCAGACGGACTGAGATTATTTGTGCAGTTACATCTGAATAAAAGTATGACAACTTCATCTGCAGTCACCCAATAATCATTTCTAGAAGACCACTGGCAGCTTCACAATAAAGTGCTGGATGAAAGGCGTGACACCAGCAAATGCTTTCAATCGGTGTGCTGTCCATCTTAAACCAAAGACTAAAAAAGCGGTTTTCAAGGAATCACTGGTATGTCCCACTGGACAGGAGAAAAACCAAATCCTCAAGACAATCACCCTTAATAAGAAACACATCACTCTTTAATGCCCCTCAGGATGACGTTCAGATATGGATGTTCATAGACGCGTCCCACTTCCTGTCTCCAGGGACAGGAGGGACGATGCACCGGAGGCCTGATTCTCACCCACCCCTGGCAGGGCTCCTCTGTGCCTCAAGCATTACAGCAGGAAGCAGAGAACCCGGAGGGGAGGGTGGGGGGAGGGGGTGGGGGGGCGGGTTGACAGAAGAACATGGGGCTTCACAAAGAAAACCACACACCCTGAGAAGGTGAGCAGAAGGACCTGCTGTTAAAGACAGGGTGTATGTCTAGTCAGTGTATATGTCTAGATGGAATTTTAAGA